TTTAATACTATCAAAAATGTTTGTAACTTTTTTAATTTCTAAATTATAACCAATATTAATTATTGATGAGTGAATAAAAACATACTATCTGTTGGTGTTTAAAATTATATATTTTTAAAACTAACCAATATTTAATTAAAGCTAAATTTTTAATCATGCATATTACATTAGACATTTTCTCAAATAATATTAAAACAAGTTGTTGTTAGTTTGAATAAGAGTATTAATAAAAGCTGACAAATTAAAAATATTTAACACAACTACATTTAATAGTTTTAAATTACAAATCATAATTTTCAACAAAAAATTAACCTAGAATGGTTAATGTTATGTGGCCAACACTCAATGACTTCAGTAAATTAGGAAAAAGAAAGTTTACCATAGAAAATGAACACAGTAATTTTTTTTTTTTGTTATTATATTTCTTTGAAGTAAATAAATTGATTTATGGCTACATTTTTAAATCAAATTTTTTAGTTATAAATAATAATATAGTTTTTTTTTTTATATATATAGTATAATATAACATAAGTTAGAAACAAAATAACCAGGTCAATCACAATTTTTAATGAGATAAGTAATGAATATTATATTGTTCTCTCATCTGATATTAGTGTATAAATAAATAATGCATAACAATTGTATTCAATTTTAATTTACAATATGATATTAGATTTTTATATTTTTTAATGAACAAATTATTATAATAATATCAACAAAATCAGTACCAAAACTTAATAATCTAAAAATAAGCTAATAAATTGTATATGTGACTGATTCACATACAAAGTGAATACAAATAATAACTGGTAACAACAATAATGACATAATTTTCTATTAGACATATGTACATAAAACACTACAATAATTTTTTTTTTGATTGTAACAAAATTGTGACTATTCGCCATTTTTCTTTTTAAGTCACCGAATAAAAATATATTGGGAATAAAAATATAGATATTGATATTGCACCAAAACATCTTTAAATATGTAAACCAAACATATTTTGAATACTTAGATGATGAATATACATTAAATGTGTATATTTATACATATCAAAGGTTTTTTCAATATAAGTTTTTAGGGTTGTCATGACGGCATTGATTCAAATGTCACACCTAACTGTTTTTCTAATGGAAATTTGTACTCCCAATTCTCTCCATTTTGCACAAACCACTAAAAATAAAAATTGTTAATATTAAATTAAATATATATAATACAAAGATTTTAAAATTAGGCACAAACATTTTACTATTAATAATGAATACTCTCTGTATGTTCAGAAAACAATAAAGTATCCTTCTGTTACTTATTTTTATTCTTTTATGTTTAAACTTATACAATATACATACACACATTATAATTTGATCATGTATCAAGTAACTTTAGTATTAAAAATAAYAGAATAAAATAGTTAATTTTATATGTAGAATTTGAAATGTTGTGTTTGTAAGTAGGAAACAATATCTGCGGGTAATAAGTTTTAAAACGAGTATAAGAGTCAGTATACTATAAAAAAAGGATAAAACATTAAGTGACAAAATAATTCTTTTATCTGACCATAGGCTAGAAAGGTTGAAGTTATCCCATGCTTGTGAAGGGATATAATGTTTTAAGGGAATGTTTCGCTTATGAGATACCTTCATGTAACAGGTTAAACATAAAAAAAAGTTATAGAATGGATTCTTAACTAATAAAATTATTTAAAACAAATATTATTAATTTTATTTACTCGTGGAATCCAAACTTCATTATTCTCTTTTCGAACTTCAGCTTCATTTCTTTGTTTTTGTTCAATTTCAGCTTTAGCTTGACTAGCTTGATCTACATCATCAACTCTAAAAAATAAATTGGAATAAATATTGTTGAAGTTATTTGATAAGCTAATATACGATAATCAAGTAATACTGATAAACTGATTATAAAATAAATATAGTAGATGTGGATTAAATATAGAATTCATAATTGCACCAGTGTAATTAAAAAGGTGTAGTGAATATGATATATAATACATTACAATATTTTGCTTTTTTCAACAAGAATGTAATAATTTATATTAAAAGGGAGTGTAATGGCTGGGTGGATAAACGCATCAATTGCAAAGCGCACCATTGCCGGTTTGAATCCTGGTCATGGGCAGCATCACTTTATGGGCAGTTACGTTGTCTGGAAAGAGAGGCCCCCCTCACGTGGGCGTGGCTAGGTAAATTAAGATAAGTTTGGTACATTTTGAAAGCGGTTAATTCAGTCCCGGGGACAAATAGGTAGTAGGTAAGTTGAGTCCCGTAAAAAATAGGGCAGTAGGTAATTTGAGTCCCAGGGAAAAACAATTTATATGCATTTAAAATTTAAAAATGTGCACTATAAAATTTTTATTTGTGATTTGTGGACAATTCATTGACTGCATGTATATGATTTTGAAAATAGCAACATGCAGTCAATGAATGTCCACAAATCACAAATAAACATTTTATAGTGTATATTTTTAAATTTTAAATGCATATAAATCATTAACAGTAAGTAATAAGTAAAAATATTGAACTTTTGAAAATTGAGTTAGTTTCAAATAATAATAAAAACACTTACTTGAGTCCTAATGTAACTTTTTTCCAAATGTATCTAGATTCATTAGTATCTTGTTCAGCAACTTTGCGRACTCTCTTTTTAATTACTTCAATTGCTTTAGTGTCGACAAACATTTCAGTTCTCTAAAAATATAAACAATTAAAAATACACTTTTTTTTAAAACTAATTATTTAATAATAGAATGGAGCCACATAGAATAAATACCTGTGGCTAGAAATTACTTAAGGTCCAAGTTTGCTCATAAATCACAACATAAGGACAAATCTTTCCCATTGTTGTTTAAGTTAAAACATAGTTTATTGATATAAACACGTCAGAGTAGGAGTCAATAATAAATGGACCACACAGGAGAAAAAATGGACGGCCAAAAAAATGTAACTTTAACGTTGAGAGTTCACATACAAACATTTTTTTTTTAGATTATCCAGTATCAGAAAATTATTTTATTATATACCTCTGTATAGACCAATAATAAGAGACCAATCTCTTGATATGTAATTTATGTTTGATCTATTCTTAGGATACATAAAAATAAAAATAATTCTTTTTTCAAATCATCCTGACTACCTTCTAAACTAAMAGCTAACCCTTATATTAGATTATAATATCTATTCTGCTTGATGTAACTATTCATAACTAATGTTATATAATATTTATCAGCAAAAACTGTTTACTGGAAAAATGATAATACTTACACCATCAGCCCATTTAGCTTCCATAGAACCATTCCATTCACCAGCAATAGTAAGAAAAGCTTTTTTTGTCTTAGGCCCAAATACTTCTGCAGTAATGCGGTGTTTCTTTCCACCATAGAATGGTTTAGTATGGAATTCTATATCACAATGGTAACCTGTTTGTGGACATGATATAGTTACAGATCCGCCTAACTCAATCCATGGAACAGTTAGTATTGATCTATACAAAAAAACCCAAATTTTGTGAGTAAAATATTAATTTATTTTAAAAGGTTGCCTATAAATTACCTGCCATAACCACTTGGGAATGTTGAAATGTATTCTTCTTTATGTTTTAATAATCTTACAATCCCCTGTCCCACATGATGAACAGCAACAGATAAGCCAAGAAACTTAGATTTAGTCCAAACATTTGCACAAAGAGTTACTTTTTTKGTCTTATGCTCAGCATAGAATGCAGATACTGAAAATTTATAGGAATAAAATAAATACCTTTTCATAATACAATTGCTTAATTCTAATTAATTTAAAGAGCGATTGACAGCAAATTCTGTAACAAATCATAGATTTGACTTGAAAATTGAACAGGAAATCCTCTCTAATTACTAACTACAAATATTAATACACATTTAGTTGATCTTACTAGGGGGGTGATGAGAAACTTGTTCAGCAAGGAATATCAATTGATCAGGATCAGTCCAAGGTAAAGGATTTTCTTCTTCATTAAGCACAGCAGCTTCTGAATTATTTTGAGCTTCATTTGACACTTCTGATTTTTCAGCAGTAATTCCAGGTACATCCCAATGACAACGAAATATTTCCCCAAGGATTGGATTATAAGGTTTTTTTGCAACAGCAGAATTTCGGCCAGCATGATATGAAGACAAATACCAACGTACTATTTGAACCATTCGTTCTTCAGGTGTTTCCAAGTCATTTGCTCTATACATAAATAATAATAATTAATAACACACAACAAAATAAGAATGTGATCATAATAAATACATTGCACAAAATATTTAAAAATTATAATATAGACACACTTACTTGAGAAATAAATCTGGATGGGCTAAATAATCAGCATACATTTCTAATAATGAACGCTTTTCTAAGATAAATGTTGGTAGGGCCACTTTTGTTAAATCCATACCAATTTTTACTTGAGATATGAGATGAGTGACAACTGAACCCTGCATAGTTACTAAAACAAAATATACCCATATAAATATATTATATTACACATRTATAAATATCATATATCTTAAAATCAATGATTTTCTTACCATCGGATTCATCTTGATCCTCATAAATAGCTTTAAAACAATAAAAATGTAATTAAAAAATTATACTTAAACTAGAATAAAATTWTATTATAGTACCATCATAATTTATAGATCCATCTGAATAAGTAGGTACAACTATATTGTCTTTGCTATAACTATCCTTTTTTTTTGGCATATTCGCAATGGTCCGATCAGTAGTATCTGAAGATAWTTGATTTAAATCTGAAGATCCCGACTGAGTCAAATTCCCAGCATTCTCTAGAACTGGTTCACTTCCACTACAAGAAAGATAAAATAATAAACATTTATAAATTTTAGATTATTTAGATTATTAGTTGTAAGAAAGAATGTAAATAAATATTTTATATTAAGATAGGAATGGATTAAATTTAATGTTTACTGCCACACATAATTGTTACCAAAGTTTTCCCAAACATATCAATATTTTTTAAATAAAATACAAAAAATAGGTTTATGTAAGCAATTTAAATGTTAGTTAAAATATTTATACTAAAAAAATAATTTTACTGCAATATTTTGTGGAAGTTTATTAACAACTGATAAAGCTAAGATCTAAGATGATAAGTTTTCATTAATCTATTTACTTGAAATAAAATACAAACATTTTAATGTATCACTAGGTACCTAGAGATATAAAATAATCATTAAAATATCAAATTATTGTGTAGTTGTTTGAAAAAACATTAAACACACACTTAATATTTAATGCTCAATGTCTTGATACTTGACATTTACCTATTAGTAGGTATATAAACTATCAATTGTAAATAGAGTGCTGTATAATAATGTATTATAYTTTGGGATTTTTTTTTAAAAATCTGCTTATAAATAACTATCATCTGTCTATTAACATCTATATTAAAATTTAAAAAAAAAGTATAATAAAAATATTTTAGTAAATAGTGAAATGTAAAATATGTTGAGCTACAATATGAATGTAAATTAATAACAGAAAAAACATAAATAATAACACTATCATAAATAAAATAGGTAATTTATATCATATTTATCTAAATCATATAAATTTATTTAATCATTAAAAAAATAAAAATAACTTGCAATTAAATAAGTTAAAATATATTACATAAACAGATTAAAGTATGACTTTAATAAGCTGACGATTTTTATCTAAATTATAGAAGATACAATATCTCTTGTATGTTTAATAATCATTATTACTTGGAAGATTTATATCAGTTTCATTAGRATTGCAATTTGGTAATTAGATAAATTTTTAACCTTTGGCTTTGGCCCATGTTGGCAGTTATTGCTGAATCTGGATTCCCGGGTGAGGTATTAGCCCAATTCCAAAAACGGGAAATCATTTGTATGCAGTTAA